CGGGGCTCGGGGAGCCGGGACGGCTGAGTGCGGAGCAGAGGAGGCTCAGAGGAGACCTCATCGCTCCCTGCAATCCCTGAAAGGAGTTGTGATGAGGTGGGTCGGCCTCTGCTCCGGGGAAACAGCAATAGGACGAGAGGTGTTGGCCCCACGTAGTGCTGGGGGGTTCAGGTTGGGTATTGGGGAACATTCCTTCTCACAAGGAGCGATGCTGCACTGACGCAGCTGCCAAGGGAGTGCTGGGGTCACCATCCATGGAAGTGTTCCAGACCTGTGGAGATGTGGCACTGAGGGACGTGTCGGTGGCCATGGGGGTGGGCTGGGGTTGGACTTGAGAGGGCTTTTCCAACCTGAATGATTCCGTGAGCCCCTGCCAAGCAGATCTGTGCCTGCCTGCAGCGCTCGGTGCCCCCTTCCCTCCCCTGTCAACCAAATGTGTCCAGGTGGTGCAAATGCAAAACGTGTGCAGGACTGTGCTGTTGGTGTGTCACTGTGCGGTCTCTCTTTCAGACATGGTGGCAGTCCTCGGTGAGACCACGGGCTGCCTTGCCCTGCCCAAGCTGCGAGACAAGATGAGGAATGACCCTGAAGGTTACCGCATCCTCCAGTGCGTCCCCCACACCCGGCCCTGGCCCTCCACCTCTGTCAGACCCCATCCCTCTGCCCCATGGGTCCGAGCGCCTTCCCTGGGCCCTGTAAAGGAGAGCCCCACACTGCTGCCATTTGAGGAGCTCGGGCATCTGTCAGCTCTGAGCCTCCTGGCTGTGGATTTTGCTGCATACTTAGTGCTCAGCAAAGCCCTGCAGCAGATCAAGGAACAGCAGCACGGAGCCCCTGGGCCCTGTTTCAACATCGCTGTCTGTTCTGCTCTGCTGCCCTGGCAGGTTCTGTCTCTCTTTGTGTGGATGCAGTGTGTTTTCTCTGTTTTGTCCTCTGCAGCATTTCCTCCACTGGGGACTCCACCCCCACTGCTTTGTCTTCTCCATAGGCACCTCCACATTTTCATTCCACCACCCTCGGCATCTTCCTAAGCTGTGAGATAAGACTTGATGGCTTTTGCTTCTGTGTCTGTGGGGACTCATTGGGCACAAGTCTGAGGACCAGGAAGGACTCAATAAGGCTCTGATTAACCACGATCTCACTGTCCTTCCTCTTTTTTTTCCAGTCCCTTCAGCTGATGAGGGATACAAGGAAGCATTTGCTGCAGTCAGGGTAGAGGTGGTGCTCATCCCACTTATCTCCCTGGCATCTGGGCAGCTCCTGGATCCACTCAGGCTTTTATCAGAAGGAAAATTTGTCCTGTGCAGAAATGAAAGGGCTTTTGTTCCATTCCAGTGCTACATGGTGCCTGTTTGCCACCAGCCTGGGCAGGAGACCTTTCTGTGCTTGGCCACCACATGGCTGCCAATGAAAGCCTGAGCAGGAAAGAAGCAAAACCTGCATTTAGAACAAACACCTTACCCTCTCTCAGGCTGTTCCTTTGAAGTCTGTCTGTTTCACAGGGGCACTGAGATCCACTCTCTGGGCCTGACTGCTAGCCAGGCTCAGTGCAAGCACTGCACTTCTCCTCCAGAGCTGCTGGAGTGGGCAGAGGTTGCAGTTCTCATTGCCAGGGCTTCAGGTGGACTCCTTAAAGAACGCATCCTTGTGGGAGCACCTGGGGGGCTGCGCAGGGAGGGGTTTCCAAGTCTTCATCTGCCCAGGGCCCCCATTGTGTGGGTGCCACACGATGCTCAGTGCTTTCTGTTTCAGGGAGCGGCCTCGCATCCGCCTCTCCACGCTGGACATGGCCCGGCTGCGGGGGCTGCCTGCTGGCACGCTGGGCCGTGAATACGTCCGCTTCTTGGAGGACAATGTGAGTGTGGGATCTCACTGTGCTTGTCTCTGTGCCAGGAGCACAGATGAGATTTGGAGGCAGGCTGTGGCTGTGGAGAAGCCCATAGAGCACCTGGAGATGAAGGGAATTGGTGGGAGTTGGGAGGTCGGGATGTGATGCTGGGTGTGGGTGATGCATCCTCAGTGCTGTGTGTTTTATCTGTGTAAATGATATTCACAGCATTAGGGGCTGAGAGATGCACTGATGGGGAGCTCTGCATTGCTGTGTGTTAAAGATTGAAAAGAGAGGCTTTGAGTTCTGACTGACCTGCACCTCTTTGCCATTGCAGAAGGTTTCTCCAGATACCCGCATGCCAGCCAAGTTTGTGGATGATGAAGAGCTGGCGTACGTGATCCAGCGGTACCGGGAAGTGCACGACCTGATGCACACCCTGCTGGGCATGCCCACCAACATGCTGGGTGAGCTGCCACGTTCCATGCTGCCCATCATCCCCAGTGATGGCTTTTGACCCATCGGAATCCCTGATCCCCAGCCCACAGAGGTGCACAGGGAGGTTGGCCGCAATCCCTGTCCTGCACTGCTGTCATCCATCATCTGTGGGTGTTCAGTGCCTGCTGGGTTTACCATGATGTGGTATTTTGCAAGATCAGAGCCCAAGCTTAGGGGTTTCCTGGTTCCTTATCCATGCATCCCCATGTCCTTTCCCCTCATTTTGTGTCTGACTCAGTCACAAGCTGAGCCTTACTGATGAGCCAGCAGGAACCAGCATTTCTGGTCCCTTGGAAGCTTCTGGCTGAGATGTGACAATGGATGAAAATGGGCTTTCTCATGCTGGGAGATAGGGAAAGATACACGGGAAAATCCTCATTTAGCAATTGCATCGCTAAAGATCTCCAGGAGCCCAGCCTGCCTGGGCGATGCCCAAGCTTGTGGGGCAGTGACAAGCAGTGCTGCTCCTGGGGGTGGCAGCCGGGCTCCCTTCCCAGTGTGGGATCGTGCCCTGTGCCTGCTCACAGCGCTCTGCTTCCTCCCAGGTGAAGTCGTGGTGAAATGGTTTGAAGCCGTCCAGACGGGGCTGCCCATGTGTGTGCTGGGAGCAGCGTTTGGCCCCGTTCGTCTCAGCGCACGGTAAGCAGTGATGCTGTCTGATGAGGGTCCATGTTAACCTGAGTTCTGATCCTGGGTTTGCTGCTGGCTGTAACCTTCCCACACAGAGTCCCGTCCCATGCCTCAGTTTCCCCTGTGAGATAAGCAGGAGAGCTGAAAGGTGCAGGGACGTAGGGTGTGCATCTGCCCGGAACAGGGACTTGGAAGAGGAAATAGAAAACCAAACGTGGAAATGAAAACCATTGTCTTCTGTGCCGTTTGTTGCAGAAAGCTGCAGGTCCTGGCCACCGAGCTGGTTCCATGGGCGGTCCGGAGCGGGCGCAACGCCAGCTGTGTCCTCAATGTCTATTATGAGCAGCGCTGGGAGCAGAGTGTGGAGTCCCTGCGGGAGGAAATTGGCATCTTCCCCCCTCCAGCCGTCCGTGTGTGAGAGCTCATGCTGGGGAGGGGGGGAATGGGGGATCCCCCGTTGGCAGCTGTTCCCTGCACTGCTCCGTCTCCTGCTGCCACACGAGTGCAGTGTGGCTCTGCTGGTGCCGACCTGGTGCTGTTCTCTCCTGTCAAGATCTGGCAGCCCCCTGTTGGGAGAGACCTCCCTGTGCCCTGACAAAATGTGACCTCTTCTGCTGTTTGTCAGCGGGTGGAAAGGTGGCCAAGTCCTGGTCATGCTTTTGCAGCTGGGTTTTGCTGGGTTGGGAGTGAATGCAGACACAGCGAATTCATGGCGTGCAGGGGTCGGGGTGCCCTGCTGCTGTGCGCAGGGCCGGGTGCTCAGCCTGGATCTGCTGTCTGGATGTTAACCCTGCTGGAGCTGCTGTCAGAAGATCCCAGGCTGCCCTGAGGCCCTCCTGGTCAAAAATGTCACTGTGAGAGGTTTTTGATAGGAATTGTCTTCCTCTGACAGTGAGGTGGTGTGATGGGGAGCAGGGCAGAGTCCTAGGAGAGCAGGACTGGAGGCTGCCCTGCATCCCGGCGCTGCTCGCAGTGTGGGTTGAGGGTTCAGCGTGCCAGCGGCTGTTTGCAGAGCAGGGGCAGAGCCACGAGGCAGGCGGGGCTGCGTGCGGGGAGGTTTGCTGTTGAAATTCCTTCTTGCTCAATAAAGCCTGTGGTGGAGCTATGGTTCCTTCTCCCTCCTCCCACCCGTCTGGTGGGGAGATGTGACGTGAGACCTCGGCACTTTTCGGGTCCGGGATTCCACGAGACGTCACCTCGGGCCGCGTCAGCGCCAGGCTGTGCCACCGCGTCCTGGCACGGTTCCGGCCCACGGGAGGTGACGTGTCCGAGTCCGAATGCGGGAGGTCGGGCAGCTTCGCCTCCCGGTTCTGCCACATCACTGCGGATTTGTCTTTTTTTTTTTTGTTTTTGAGTGGTGACGATGGGTGCCGCGCTGTGCCAGAAGTGCCGAGCGCGCGGCTGCCTGCCGCCCTGCTGCCCGCTGCGGTGCGCATGGGGACGAGGAGGCGGTAATTTCATTCCAAAACGGAGGAACCCATCGGGCCGATGCTGCGATCCCCCTCCCCACCGCCCGGCGCAGCATCTCCCTGCGCGCACACCTGGCCCCGCCGTCAGCACAGCCGGCGCACAGCCGCCTCCGTCCCGCAGCTCCGGGATCGGGCTGCTCTGCGCCGCGCCGCGCTCCCCGCCTTCAAAACGCCGAGGCCCCGCCATTCACGGCACGTCCGCCGCCCCGCGGTGCCGGCAGGGCTCCGTGCAGCGGGCGGGAGGCGGCGGCCGCTCCGCGCCGTAGGGCAAAATGCGACTCTGGTGGGACTCGAACCCACAACCTTTGAATGACTCCCGTCACCGCCGCGCTAGAAGTCCAATGCGCTATCCATTGCGCCACAGAGCCGTCGGACAGCCCCGCCGCCTTCGCCGCCTCTTCCCGCCGCGCAGCGTCCCGCCCCGCGCTGCGCTCGGGGCCGCTGCTTCTGCCGCTGCCGTCGCCACCACCGGGAGCGGAGCTGGGAGCGGAGAAGCGGCCGGGGCAACGCTCGCCCCGCAGCGCCGCTGGAGCCTCGGAGAGGAGAGGCGGTGCCGGGTGGGACTACAGCTCCCGGCGGGCCGCACGGAGCGCTCCGCCCCGCCCCGCCCCGTGCCGCAGCGGCGGGCGGGCCCTGCTCCCCGCTCATTGCTCCCGGCCCCGCTCCCGGCGGCGGTGCAGGTGGCCGGGCCGCACTGGAACGCGCTGGATCCCCGTAAGAGCGGGGCCCGTCCCCTTCTCCCTTCTCGCGGCCTCCCCTGCTGACTCGGAGGGGCTCCCGGTGCGGGGATCGGCGGGGGTTCAGCCGCTGCCCGAGGCGCCCCGTGGAGGCGGTGCGGCTCCGACGGGAGGTTCGGAGCCGGTTTCGGGCAGGGCGAGGCGCGGCGGGGACTGCGGCAGCGGGAGGCGGGAGCGGGCGGGAGCGGGCGGGAGGGTCCCGGTGCCGCCCCGAGCCGGGGAGAGTCGCGGAGGCTCCGCAGGAATGGAAGCGCGGCGCCGGGGGCTGCGGCGCCGGCCTGGAGCTCCGGGCTCTGCGGCGGATGCGCGGTGCCCCCCCGCCCTCCGCAGCCCTGTGCCCGCCGTGCGGCCCCCCCGCCGCCGTCCATCCCGTCTGCCCCCCCCTCCCCCCAGCGGAGCAGCCCGGCTGGGCGCCTCGGAGCCGCGCGCTGTGGGCGTGGAGGTGGGCGCGGGGCAGCGCTCGGTTGGGCGGCGGCCGTCCGCGCTGCCGACGGGCCGCTGTGTGCGGCGGAGATGGGAGCGGATGGCGGGCGCCTGCCCGGGCCTGCCCGCCTCGTGTGGGCGGTGGAACGCCTCGCTGCCCACGCGACGTGCCCCCCCCGGCCCCTTCACCGCTCGTGTCCGATGCTGGAGGTGTAAGGGAGGGCCCGGCGCTTGGCTGGAGCGCGGAGGTTTGGTGGTTTCCCCGTTAAGCCGCATAAAGAGGTTCGCGGGGGTAAAATAAGGAGGGTCCTGCCCTGCTGAAAGCCGCTGGGGGACACTGAGCTGCTCGGGAGGAGGCTTGGAGCCGGGGGCAGGAGTGAGATGTCTGGGTCGGGGCTGTAGGACATCCCCGTGCTGCGGGCTTGGGGCCATCCCTGCCTGCTCCGGGGTCACAGCTCAGGTGCCGCATGACATGCTTGGATGCTATCTCACATGGGGCAGCCTGGGGCTGTGGCTGCCAGTCTCAGAGCAGGGAATCATCTTCAAAAGGGGAAGGGGAATTGTGCCAGAATTTCATTCCTCTGAGGCCGTGCCGGGAAGGACTGGTGTTATCTAGGAGCTGTCACTGCGCTTAGGTCACGCTGCTGCCTGGGAATAGCCTTTGCTAAATCATGGTCACCTGTGAGTCCTGGAGCTGTGACTGGGAGCGTTTGAGACAGAAATATCAGTCTATCCACAGGGCTTGGGGATGGGGCCTGGGTGCACCCAGCAGCTGGGACAGCCGTCGCTGTGCCTCCAGGCCAGGAAGCTGCCCTCTGACATGGGTTTACAAACACAGGCGGAGATCAGAAGATGGAGTGTCCTCATCCTGTTTGAGCAGTGTCAGACTGAGCTCCGCAGTCCAGCAGCTGTCCTGGGCACATGTTGGTGCTGTGGGCATGGGAGAGCTGGGCTGTAGGGATCCTCGGGGCAGGGAGGAATTTGGATCTGGACTGTCCTGGGTTGGGCGTGAGAGCTGAGCTCACCCTGCCTGGCATTGCTCTGGTGCCTCCTAACATCTGTATGGGGTCTCCTGCACAGCTGCACTGTCACACCTGTGAGGTGACCTCATCCTACATCTGACACTACTGGGATGTGTCCGTGTCCCTGGCTGGTGTGCAGGCCAGGGGTCTGCAGAGAGGAACAGCCAGGCTTTTGGTGGATTCTGAGCAGTGCCATGTGTGTGCCACGGGCAGGGTCTGCTAACATCAGCCTGATGGGTTACGTCCTCGCTGCCAGGAGAAGTGGTGGCTCTGGGCCTCATCCAGGGAACTGGGAGCAGCTAATGCATCCCCTGCCCGTGGGTCTCTTATTGTTCAGTGTGTGTAGGTCAATATTTGTGCTTTCTCTCTCTCCACAGGCCAAGATGCTGCGTTTGGCTGCCTTCGCAGCACTGCTGCTGTTCTTCAGGGTCAGCCTGGAGCTGTCCTGGGCCCAGGCCATCCCTGCTCTCTTCATCTTCTACCTGGGATCAGGGGGATGGGACTTCTTCCTCATAGTCATCAAGACAATACGAAGGGATGTCACGTAGGTATCCTGTTTGGGGTGGCCCAACTGCGCACTGGGGTGTGTTAGCATAACCCCTGCTCTCTGTTGGCATCTGGCCCAGCTTGAAGGAGATCATCTTCTGCTGTGCCCTGAAGGCTCTAAACTCTGGGGCAAAGTTTTCCCAGGAAATATAGATTTCATCTGAGCTCTGAAGTCTACTCATTGTCCTTGTCCTTGTACTTTATCCTGTCCCTAAAACTGCTGGCATTGCACCAGCTGACAGGGCAGGGGCAGCTCTGAGCTGGTACCAGGCTGTGCCAGCTTTTGGCAGAGATCTGCATGTGGGACAGAGTGGCACCTTTTGGAGAGCACCTGAGGCTCCAGGGCGCTCCTTTGAAGCGAGGACATCCCAGTCTGCAGCCTTCCAAAACATCTCTCCCTGCCCTCATTCCCATAAGTGCCTTTGCAGAGGGCCTCTGCCTATATCCATGCTTTTCAGGGAAGCACCCAGAGCTGCTGCTCATCTAGAGTAACACCTGGAGCAGTGCTGGACTATTGCAGCTTCTGGCAAGGTCACTGTGCTGTCTTTGCTGGAGGAGGTGGTTTTGCAGGGCTCACTGAGCAGCTTCCCTCTTGTTCCCTTTATTTTGGCAGCACGGGGCTGATTCTGCTGCAGGTGAAGTGGCAGGTGTGGAGGCACGTGAAGGAGAAGAACACAATCGCCAAGATCTTCCAGAAAACTGCAAGCAAGTGTCCAGAGAAAACAGCACTGATCTTCCAAGGCACGGGCGAGAGCTGGACCTTCCGGCAGCTGGATGAGTACTCCAACCAAGTGGCCAATTTCTTCCATGGCCAAGGCTTCCGCTCTGGTGACGTGGTGGCTCTGTTCATGGAGTCCCGCAATCAGTACGTGGGGCTGTGGCTCGGCCTGGCCAAGATCGGGGTGGAGACGGCCCTGGTGAACTCCAACCTACGCATGGAGGCCTTGCTGCACTGCATCACCATCTCCAACTCCAAGGCTGTGGTTTTTGGAGTGGAAATGATGGAAGGTGAGACGCAGGCGGATGCTTCAGGAGGTTTTCAGGCTCTGTGGATTCAGTGATCCTTTCCTGCAGGGAATAGAGCAGGGTCTCAAAAAGTGTGAACAGCTGAATTATTCAGGAATTGGATCTGATTTTCGTTCTGTTAGTAGGCAGCAGAGGTGGATGGGTTCAGTGTTCTCTGCGAGGCCCACATGGATGCAAGGATTCTTCCTTGTGCTAGAGGTTCCTCTCATGTCCACGCACTACATGGAGCACTGTGCTGTGCCAGACCCGCCCTGATGGAAGGGATGAGACTCCCTTGGGGCTCCCCACACTGTTTGCCACAATCTTGCAGCACCTGCCTTCGTGTTTCAGCCTACACCCCTGCGGCTGATGGTGTCGAAAGACCTCTCAGCACCACAAAGTTTTGGTTGGGAAGAAGTGGAGAACAGGATCTTCAAGTCTATGAAGAGGCCTGGGCTGTGGTCCCAGCTGTTTGACATAGGAGCAACATCTGCCTGGGAGGGTTGTCAGGCCTCTGGGGTTCTGCTGAGCACAGTGAGGGTACAGCTACCTGGGGCATTATCTTCCCAAGGCTGCCTGCAAGGACAGGGAATCGCTGTGCTGTACTCACCTGGTGCTCTTTCTCTACCTCTCCTCTTTACTTTCTCAGCTATGAAGGAGGTACAGTCCTCCATGGAGAAGTCTGTCCATCTCTACTGGTCAGGAGAAGGAAGCCTTGAGTCTGCACTTTCCGGTGCAAAGCACCTGGATCCCCTCCTGCAGACAGCTCTTCGACACCAGCCAGATCCCCCTGAGAAGGGCTTTCTGGGTACGTGGGCAGCTTTTGGGAACCCAACTCACGGTGGTACTCCTATGGATCATCTGGTCACAACACTGGTGAGAATGTCTGCTCAGGATGCTGAGGGCAGACTTCAGCAGCAGAGCCTGGAATGTTTGAAGGGGGGCTGAAGCCTGGCTGCATGTGGTGCAGTGCCATGTGCCCTCCGTGTGTTCAAACAGACCTGGGGTGAACCCAGCATGTTCTTTATCACATAACAAAATTTATTGTGACATGAGCAGAGTACACTTTGACTTGCCCCCACCTTATGCTTCAGCCAGCTCCACGTAGATCAGGTGCAGTGATCTAGGTCACACTGTGACTTTGTCTCCTCATTCCTCCCCAGATAAACTCTTCTATATCTACACCTCTGGCACTACAGGAATGCCCAAGGCTGCTATTGTGGTGAACTGCAGGTAGGGCAGTGGGCAGGAGCTGTGAGGAGGAAGGGGGCAGAGCTCTGCCCGATCCTGGCACCAAGCCTCTGGCCTTGCTTCTGATGCACCCCTTGGTTTCCCCACCGCAGGTATTTCCGCATGGCCAGCTTGGTTTTTTACGGTTTTCGCATGAGACCCGATGATGTGCTGTATGACTGCCTTCCACTTTACCACGCTGCAGGTAATGTGTGCCTTTGGGACCTTGCTTGCCTGGACTTTGCTTCCCAAGCCCTGAGCTCAGGCTGGGGGTTGGTGCAGCAGTGATCTTTGTGTCAAAGAGGAGCTGGCTGCTGCTGGCAGCGTGTGACCTCTTTATCTGGGAGCCAGGAATTGATCTGGCTGACTTCTGGAGTGGGGACTGTTGTGTGGGGAGGACAATCCCAGCCCTTGGCCTGGCTTTGGAATAGCTGCATTGTGTTGCTGACTCATGAGAAAAGGGGTGAGGAAGGGGAAGCAGTGCCCACCTTGCTGACTGAGGCGTGGTGGGATGTCTGGTGCAAGGCGCTGCCTCACGTGCCACTGTCCCGATGCCCTGGGGTCCTGGAGGCTTTGGCCAGATGAACACACACCTGCTGAGAGCCAGGGTGTGGCTCCTGCCTTGCTCTGGCTGGGTATGGTGTGTGGGTTCTGAGGGCTTTCCTGGCTGCCTCTCTGCAGGGAACATCGTGGGCATCGGGCAATGCTTGCTGCAGGGCATGACAGTCGTCATCCGCAAGAAGTTCTCAGCCTCACACTTCTGGGAGGACTGTGTGAAGTACAACTGCACGGTGAGGCCACATGCCTGGGGATCTGTGCTGAGTTGGGGTGAGCCCAGCTGCTGCAAGAAGGAAAGGCTTGGACTCGTTCTGCCTGTCTGTCCTGAAATACCTTCCAAAGTGGTGGAGCTGTATCCTTCCCACCTCCAGCTGTCGTTCCATGTTTCCCATGCTCCAGCATTAGCCAGGTCTTGGATAGGTTTTATAAATTGGAGGAGAGTGTTTGCCAGAGATGGGTGGGCAAGGGACAAGTTGGCGGGACCCCTGGATAATAGCACATCCTCTGTAGGGGACTGTGTGCGTGTTGTTCCATTCCTGCCCGCCCCAAAGAACACCTTAAGTATCCCAGGCTGTGATGGAGGGTCCTAACGTGTCCTTTCTCTTTGTCCCTGCTAGATTGTGCAGTACATTGGGGAGATCTGCCGCTATCTGCTGAACCAGCCCTTCCAGGAGGTGGAGCGGCAGCACCGGGTGCGCATGGCGCTGGGCAATGGGCTGCGAGCTTCCATCTGGAGAGAGTTCATGACCCGCTTTGGCATCGCCCAGGTGGCTGAGTTCTACGGGGCCACTGAGTGCAACTGCGGCCTGGGCAACTTCGACAATAACGTAAGGCTTTGCCACCCTCCCCATGCCCCAGGGGGTGCCTGCTGGCCTGGTGGGGGTTGAAACCCAGCAGGGCTGTTGGCTGCAGGTTCCTTGTTCCAAGAAGCTTGGCATGCATTAAGATCCGCCTGCAGGGTTTTGACTGTGCTTTTGTGGTGCCAGCTTGGGGCAGGAATGATGTTCCTGCTACTTATGGCTCTGAGTGCCTTCTATCCTAGGTCGGGTCCTGTGGCTTCAACAGCAGGATCTTGCCAGGGGTGTACCCCATTGGCTTGGTGAAAGTGGATGAAGACACCATGGAGCTGATCCGGGGGCCGGATGGTGTCTGCATCCGCTGCAAACCAGGTAAGGGCAACCACTGGGGTGCATCTCCTCAGCCCTGTGTGGATCTTTTGTCATGTACTTCATGGTAACTTAGTTAGGTTTAAGTCCTTGGTTTGTTAAACCACACCAACCCTGTTAAACACCCTTTTTCCTTGGGCGTGAGTGGTTGCTTCCTCCATTCACCCCTTCTGCTCTCCCTGCAGGGGAGCCGGGGCAGCTGGTGGGCCGCATTGTCAAGAACAACCCTCTGCAGCACTTTGATGGCTACCTGAATCAGTCAGCTACCAGCAAGAAAATCGCCAGGGATGTGTTTGCAAAAGGGGATGCTGCCTATCTCACAGGTAGGCGAGTAGTGCCCTTGTGTCTGCTGAGAGGAGAGGGCTACTTGGCTGGGCTCAGGGACGTCCCAGGCTGGTGATGCTGTCCTGAGATGCTCTGGGGAAGCACTTAGCTCCTCTCACACCTCATTTTTCTGCAAATCTGCCCCTTTCCTGTAGGGGATGTCCTGGTGATGGACAAATACGGCTACATGTACTTTCGGGACCGCACCGGAGACACGTTCCGCTGGAAGGGAGAGAACGTCTCCACTACTGAGGTGGAGGGGACACTGAGCCGCATCCTCAACCTGACAGACGTGGTTGTATACGGGGTGGAGATCCCAGGTAACTGAGAGGGGAGGGGAGAACAGTGGAGGCACGCAGGCTGCTGTACCTGGAGGTGTGTCTTGCTTGTCCAGGTCATGTCCTTTCACAAGAGGCCGGACAGAGGCTCCTTGTGAGCTGGGAAGAGGCTACTGGGGGTGTGAGTGGCAGGAGCCAAAGGGTTTCCTCCCTCAGGCAGATGTTTGACTGGTTCTGCCTGGTTTGGAAGGACCTTGAGTCCTTTTGGGATAGGCTGCAAGTGCCTCCTCTGGGAGGACGTGACGGTGACCGCAGGGTGTCGCTGGTAGCCGTGGCTGCAGGCTGGTGACACAGGCAGTGTCACAGCTGGACACTTGGTGCTTTGTACAAAGCAGGGAATGTGCCAGAGGCCTCGGTGATGTGGGGCAAACGGAAGTGATGCAAGGACAGCATGCCCAAGAATTCTCCCTTCTTTTCTGTCTCTCAGGCACTGAAGGGAAGGCAGGAATGGCAGCCATTGCTGACCCAGAGAACTCCTGTGACCTGGAGAGCTTTGCCAGCCAGCTGAAAAAGGCTCTGCCTCTGTATGCACAGCCTGTCTTCCTGCGGTTCCTGCAAGAGGTCTCCAAGACAAGTGAGCCGCTTTCTGTGCTGTCATACAGGGCATGCAGCTGGGGGGAGCATGGGGAAAGGCACTGTGCTCCGTGGTGCACAGCAGTTGCGTGGGCAGAGGGGCTGATCTGCAGTGGAGTCGGTGTTGGGATGGAGCATGTCTGCCCTATGAGCCCCTGGTCCTACCAGCTCCTCTGGTAGTTTGCAGACCTGGGAGTGCAAGGCTCAGGATGGCAGCTGATGCTAAGATGTCTCTGCCGTGAGCCTCATGGTTTGGCAGCAAGATGTGGTGCAGCACAGCAGAGCAGAGGTGGGAGTGCATGCAATCAGCAACCCTTTGCTCCCTTTTCTTTCCCCATATGCCAGGCACCTACAAATTCCAGAAGGTGGAGCTGCGTAAGCAGGGCTTTGACCCCTCACTGGTGAAGGACAAGTTGTACTTCTTGGACTGCAGGCAAGGCCGCTACCTGCCCTTGGACCAGGAGGCGTTTGACAGGATCCAGTCGGGACAGCAGAAGCTGTAACAGTGGGGATCAAGCAAGGCAGCTCCCCAGATCTTGCTGGGGGAAGAGGGACAGGGCAGACACTGGGGAAGGAAAGGTTCAAGGAGTATAAAGGCACACTAGAGATTTTGTTTGACAAGTTTTACAGATCATGGGTTGGGGAAATGCAGCGGGGACTCAGGGGAGGGAGATGATTACATACCAAAGCATAAACTCATCATGGCTTTATTTTCTACTTGGTACAATGGTGATGGTCCCATGCCACAGGATGGGCAGGGGCCCTGGCCAGTTGGGGAGGGGTGGGGTGCCCCTGCCATTCCATTTTGCTTTTCCTGTCTTTCCCTCTCTTTTCCAGCCCGCAGCAATCCTTCGTTATGAAGCCCATGAAGGGACCATTGCTGGGCTCTTCTCCTCACTCCTCCACCGTGCAGCCAGCTCCTTCATGGCACCAGCAGAGGGAAGCTGGGTGCCAGGTGCAGCCCTTACCCCTGCGTGGCCCACTGGTGTCATGTTTGTGCTGTGAATCAGGGAAGCAGGGTAGAGCTGGGCTCAGGAGAGGGATAGGGATGTGTTTCTACTATGCCTTGCTCTCTCCTGAGGTTGACATTTCTATTTTTCACAATCACACGCACATTATACACGTATATATGCATATATTATACACGCTGATCTTTTTTTTTTTTTTTTTCAATCTTAATTTATTGTCTGTACTTTTGAATGTGTCCCGGGTTTGTGCAGTAGGTGGAGGGATATCCTAGACCTGCCCTCTCTTGGAGAGCCCTTTTCTCTCACAGGGAGATAGGATGATCGTCTGGGACTGATTCCTCTTCCAGCATGGGTGCAGCCATGTATGTCCTTGTGGCCTTGCTCCGTGGTGAAGGACATGAGTGAACCCTGCTATCTTATGGACAGTTTTCTGGGTCTCTTATTTCCACCTTTCATGGATGCAGCCTTGTTTTGTGCACCTTCTTTCCTGTATAAAATAGGTGGGAAAGTGGCAATGAAGGGTTTGGTTTGCCTTTGCTTAAACGTACTCAGCACCTTGGGATCACAGAGCAACTCTAGGAACTTTCCTGCTGTGATATGTGTGTCCTGAATATGGGAGGCAACTTGCCTGGAAGGGAGAAAATCCTTCAGAGAGTTGTCTTTGTGACAGCCTGATTTCGTGTGCTCTGTGCCCCTTCCTGCAAGAGCCTAACCCAACTCTGCTGCAGGAGCTGGGCCTCTGAACTGAAATGTCCATGTTAAACACTCGACTTGTGCTACGTGAATTCTCTGCATTGTGTCTGATGTGAAGCAGCCTTAGCAGCAGTGTCTGATTCCAGTCTTTGGAGACCAAGCAGAAACATCTGTTCCAGAGAAACTCTGGTTTGGGATTAATTCTTTTTTTTTTTTTTTTTTTTTTTTTTTTAATGGTTTGTTTTTATGCTTTCAGCAGGGTTAATCCTTAAAATGACTTCTGTCTCTTGTGAGGGCAGGGTGTGTTTGCTTTTCGAGCTGTGCTTCCACACCACCATACCTGCCTGCCCCAGTCTGTCCTGTCCTCACAATTAAATATGAGTACGGGCTATGCTGGAGTTTCCTACTTCTTGCTTGTGTGGTCCTGCAATGACTGGGAGGAGGGAACTGTGATGGTTTGGGAACTGGGAGCTGCTACTCCCCGAGCACAACCTCTGTGTGTACTTCATCTCGGCTGGGGGCAGGGAGCAGTGTTGTTTGTGGCTGTGTTGATGCCTGTATGAACACCACCTGTTGGTGAGACCCTCCCCACCCCTCTCTACTTCCTCCCCTTTTCTCCCAGCCATCTTTTCAGTACTGCCATCCCAGTTTGTCCTGGATCTGTTCTTGTTTACCCCAAAATGTCATTCTTCCTCCTCCCCTCTCCCTGCTTGCTCCTCTCCTCAACTTTTGCCATGCTTAATCTCCCAACTCATTTCTCAGCTTGCAGTCAGTTTGGAGTTTTTTTTTGTACTCATTTCCCTTCCCTTGCTGCCAGAACTATCCTTAGACCTTCTCCAACCTGCTCTGGGGAAGGATCATATTGAAGGGTCTGCTGGTGGCTGCTGTATGGGACAGGAATGGGACAATGCCCATCTGCTCAGCAGGTGCTCAGGTCTCGCTTTTGGACGCTGTTCCTCTCTCAGTCTGCCAGTGGAGGGCAGGCTGGGAGCAGCAAACACCTCGTGTCAGGGGGCTCCTCAGCCTCAGCCTGGGGCTTGCAGCCTCTGGGAGGGGGAGGGCATGAGTTAACCAAAGTGGGGTCGGATCCGATCCTGCCTGGCACGGAGAGGAAGCTTTGGAGATTAATGATTGTGCTGGACGTGGATCCAGTGGGTATCCACGGTGCCCCAGGCTCTGCCTGGAGGAAACTGCAGCTGCTCCAGGTCTACCCTGAGTTTCTGGACCACTGCTGAATAGCAGCCTGATGCGATGGGCACTGTGCTGCAGAGATCAAGTGAGACTCTGACCTCCCTGAAGGCAGTCTTGGGGGCTGTTGTCTGGAAATACATGGTTTGAAGTGGTAGGGGAAGCACTTTTCTCCCCAGAAGAAACAGCCATGCTGCTGTGCATGCCAAGCTGCTCCCAGAAGAGGCACGGGGAAGGTGCAGCCCTGCAATTCCCTGTGTCTGAGAGCAAGTTATGATTCAAACAAGCAAACTGCATTCAGAGAAACTGCATGTTCAATGCAGGTGCAAATAACATCGGAAGCTTATAGAATTATGGCAGTAGTTTGCAAGTAAAAATCAGTCTGTATTGCCAGAAAGACCAGAGCCTGGCTGGAGCAGGGAGGAAAAATGAAACCTAGATGTGAGTGCCGCTGAAGCTGCCACCACACATAAACTGCTGAGTCCTGGGACAGTGCTGGGAAAAAATGCTTCCAGCAAAGAGGTGCTTGGAAAGGAGCAGCCGGTACCTAATCTGAGTCTGATTGATGGATCGTTCTAAATTCCTTTTTGCTTTTTTTAAGGAAGAAACTAATTGAATCCTGTATGGTTAGAGACAGCCTGAGACTTATCTCTCTCCTTTGATCAATAAGCTAAAGTCCGCCTCAACAGCTGCATGTAGGTAAAAGCACTATACAGAAAGTATGAGGTATTATTCTTTTTTTTTAATTAAAAAAAAAGTTAAAAAGCTGTTTCCATGAGGTTAGGAAAACATTAAAATCCTTTCCTGGGCTATTAGCCAATTAATTTAAGCAAAGCCAAAGAGATTTACAAACCAAATGTGCTTTTCACCATAGAGATGACCAATTTTGACATATCTCTCGCTCTGGCTAGGGGCAATATTAAGAAAAACAAGGCTGTAACTTCCTCTCTGATCAGCAACTCTTTCAGCTCTCAGTTCAGCTCAGGCTGTGCTTGGTGAGCAAAACCGGAGCTTATTTCAATCCCAATGCAGGCAGAGGCTCTGCAAGATGCTCAGGACCATTCTGCCTGAAATTATTTTCTGCTGCTGAGAGCCTGTGAGCGGCTTTAAAGCCGCACGGCTCCCAGCCTCCTCCATCACTCTTCACGTGCTGAAGCCCTCGCACACAATGCCGCCTGCTCCTCCCAGCGCCGGCCCCACAGCTTTGCCATTAAGAAACATTCTGGACCTGTCCTGGTGCACCCTTTAGAAATGTAAATATGTGATTCCCCTGAGTAGTTCCAGTGTAAGCAGGCCTGAGGCCGGCAGCGGCTTTGCCTCCTCGGCTCCCAGCGGCGTGGTGTCAGGGCAGCCCAGGGGAATGGCGGCCTGCAGAGAGCACTGCGCTGTCTGGGGGCGAGGAGCAGCCGTGTCCTCGTGCTGTGCTGAAGGCCTCAGCCTGCGAGCTGCTGCAGGACGAACTGCCCGTGGCGCACAGCAGGGTGTGAGGAGCGGGGAGGGCACGGATGCTTCTCAGTTGTTGACAATGTCCCGTTTCACAGGGGCTTCCGAAAGAACCGGGGCTTGACTCTCCTTTCCTCAGTCAGTGGAAAACATCTCCCGTAGGCACAACTGCTGCATGGCCAAGCGGTGGGAGAGCTCAGGGCGGTTCGGGTCTGTCAGCACCGACCCGGTGGCACCGGGCACAGCAGATGAGGGGACTGTGAGGACGGGCTCTTCCCCTCGCGGATTGGCACCGTTGCCCCGATCCTTGTCTCGCGGAGCAGGATGCGTCCCGCCCCTGCGCGGCTCCCTGCGGTGCTGGGATGCGCCCCAGAAGCAACGGTGACGGAGCCTCCCTCCTCGCCCCCGGCCGCAGGAAGAGGCTAACGGCGGCGGGCGAGCCGTGTTCTCAGCTTGGAGTATCGCTTTCAGCTATTCTGAAGGTTAAACGCCTGTTTAGAGCTCCCTATTGAAGGTGGAGACGGGGGTGCGCCATTGTTCGGCCGCCCTCCCGCTTTGTCCGCCCGCTCTCGGGGGCGCCCTGAAAGGGAAGCGGCCCCGCGGCCCGCACCCGGCAGAAGGGCTCCTGGGGGAGCGCCGCTTCCTCCGCCCTAATGACATTCAGGCCTCCATCGGTTCAGCTCCCGCTTTCTTTCTGCTGCAGTTTAACCCGGGCACAGAGGCCGGGCTCCATCTTACTGATCTCTGCTTGACACCCAATTATCACATGAATGGCAGAGAAAGGCTGCAAAAGGCTTTAACTCCCCCTGACCCTCCTTCCCCTCTGCCTGCTTCCCCCTCGCCCCGTCCTACCCCCGCACGGAGGGAGTTCAAAACTGAGACTGGAAATCAAACAAAGCCCCGAGCGGGGAAACCCATTGTTACCGCCTCGGAGATGGCTCCCGTTTCGCCATCCGTTGTTCCCCTTGAAGTTTGACTTGCTGTGTGGAAGGATGCGAGCAGCTGTTGGCGCATTCCCCTGATGTTTTATTGAAAAATAATTGAATCGTCACTTTGGGGCTCGCTGATAAAATGTTTCCTCGTAGCACTGGGCCCTGTTGTATTCATAAAGTATGTTTCCCCGTAAAGTGGGTTGGCAACCCAACCCGTTTCCTGCCTCGATGGAGGGATGGATGCCCCTTCTGCACTCGAGGGAGAAAACCAAAAACCGAGGGCTGAGACAAAAGAAATTAAACCATCTTTACTGTAAGGCTGAATTTCCAACCTGTTCTTTTGTTCGGTGTAGTTAAATTTGTGGGAGGGCCAGGCCTCTCAGCTCCACTCCGCTGGGGAAATGTGGCGGTGACCAGGGAACATCGGAGCTGCACTGCGCCTGGAAGCAAGGACAGGATGTGAAATACTGAGTAGAAAACAGAGGTTTCACTGAAGTTAGCACAGTGACACATCCACGGGCTCGAACCAGAGGACGGTGTGTTACAGTAAACCAAACGCAAGGCAGAGACCTTGACTTTATCTGTTCCTTCTTTATGTACTTGATTATCAAATGCCATCAATGCTTACAGCACTTCAGAAATAACAACATCAGCACTACACTTTCTCAAGGAGATTACATGCTTTCTACTCACCTCCCCAAGCATATGCTGGCAAATTTGTGATGCTCTGATTTCAGCAACAGCACAGAGATGGGAATTGCTCCTCTTCCCAAGCACACATCGTCCATAAAAATGTCCCCCATAGCTCATGTGCTCACTGACTGTATTTCCAGGGTAACTGTTAACAGTAACCAGCTTCGAATGCTTGAATGAGCCAAATTGGTATTTATGATTACTGTTCACTCTCTTTCTCTCTCTTTCTTTTTTTTTTTTTTAATTTCTTTTGCCTTTATGAGGAAGCACTAACACTAAATCTGTAATATCTTGTTGCATTTCTATAGCTCAGGAATCAAGGTTTTTAGCAGCCAGTTTTGCTATTATTTGGCCTCACAAATTATTCCTGGAAGCAGGAAGAATAGCTCGTAGAAAATCATAACTACAAACACTGATCTGGAGCTCAGATTACCAGATCTTTTGTAAACAGAGTGCTTCAGTCACTTCTGAAGGGCATACAAATAAGATTTCTGTCTAAGCCGTCTCTTTCCTCTGCTTGTTCCCCATACAATTGGTTCAACATCCTGAGCCATATCTCTGAGATACTCAGAGGCCTTGGGATTTACTATCTAAAATCTAACTGGAACTTCTGGAAGAAGACCACATGCAGTAGCTTCGTGCCTCTGCCATAGCATAACCCCCAGCAATGGCAGCAGCACCCGTTGTGCTGGGAATTGCAGAATCTTTCCTGGGGCCCAGCCGGCAGAGTGCTCATCTCCCAGAACAAAAGGCCGCTACAAACACCACCACCTTCTGCTCTCAGGGTTAGGCGTGCCTTGACCCCTGTTAGCATAAACGTAGAGCAATCTGTCTGCGGAAATTTATGCCCGTTACATATAATGCATTATGTATATGCATCTATATGACATTTCTTTCTGAATGTGTGCGCGTGCACATGTATATTTTAAAGCCGAACCCTCCACTAAGAGGAGCATTAGAGGAGGGAGGGTGAAGGGGCTGCAGTTTTCCTCCAGTTCCGCCCTGTGCTTCGTGTGCTCCGCAGAGGAAGGAGCCTGTGCCGCAGCACAGCCCAGCTGTCACCACCATGGCTGTGTCTGCCTGTGCACGTGCTTCTTTCTCCCTCTGGGGATGGGAGGAAGAAACAAACGGGCGA